GTTTCCATTTTATGCCTAAGAGCCATGCTGACTTTCTATCTGACAGCATTTTATGTTCCTGATATTTGTGTTCTATGCTAAAATCAAATTTAATTAACCATTTGTGAACTCTGAATCTAGAGAAAAGTAGATTATCACAGAAAAAATGTGCAGAATATTTGTATTTATGTCCCTGGTTAAACGGCCTGTTTGTTGTATGTGAAATGTGAAGAGCTTTGAACATATAATCCATCACAAATATTTCACTAAATCTGTAAAAAAAACACTTTACAATGATCAGTACACCCTATTCATTTCATATGCTACCATAATTTTCTTCTTTAGGATAGTAAGTGGTTCAAATATATGCCAATTGAGACTAAAACTACATGCAAGTTTTCCATTGAAAAGTGAAAAACTGGTCATCAGACCATACTGTCTGCAAAAAAAAGTTGAATTCAAGAGTCCTTTTGCAATTAGACTTCTTGTATCATGACATCTTAGCATAGAAATGAGCAAAAAGTAACAAATTTCCATTTCTTATAGCCTCTGTGTGCATTTTTATATGTAAATATGGGCTACGGCCTAAATCGACTCTATATAATTCTCAGTCTTACATGGCCTAAGACCATTTTATACTCATGTGGTATGCTTTTTGTAACTTTTCTTTACATTTAAAGTACATTTAATATATATGGAAGAATAATGTATGGTTAAAAAACTTCAAAAACTTCAAATTGGTTGAAAAAAATGCATGTTTATGTAAGGCTTCCCTTATTTCGAAAATCTCTATTTTCAGGCACAGGCTCACATAAATTTGACTTTTGAATAACTGTAATAAATCTGATAAATCAAATGAGTGTTCCGTTGCTATTAATACTTATTACATTATATTCAAGAGTATTTAAAAAACAAATTTTTGCAATATCTAAATTTTTTAGGCCAAAATCTTGACAGTTGAAAATATTTGATTTAAACGTCAAAAATAAACATCCAAATTTCAATACTAAAATGGCCCTAGTTTCTATAATATATGTCCTATGGCCATGAAACTTGGCCAACTATCTTATAATTTCCTAAGCTTAGGTCATGCAAAATTTTATTAAAATTGGTCAAGTCTTTCTATCCTATTAGGTCCAAGGACACAGTTATCGTCCTTTGGTTTTTGTTGTCTACGAATATAGTCCCTAGTGTGAACAGTGTATAACTTGCATTTTTTTTTTATACACTTTCCCAATTTATTTCTTGATATTTTATGCATGAAATATTGAGGGGATGAAATTACATGTTAAAAAAATTTGGGTGCTGAATCTTTATGTTAAGTAGTGATTTGGTCCAGTAAAAAAAGGCCAAAAATTAGAATGTCTGAAGCTGTCAAACTGAATTGTAGCCCCCCTTAACACAGAATTGTCAATATTTTGAGTTAGAGCTGGTAGAAGTTTCTATAATTTTGATATTATTTGTATCAATAGTAGTACACTACACTGTAAAAATCTTTTTGAGATAGAGCAGGTGCGATTTTTTTAATTTGAATTTATTCTCTAAAAGAAATGCACTACGAAATAACTGTGTTCTCGGGCCTACTATGTCAACTCCAACAAGATAGAGATCTTTGTCTGGAACAAGTGGCAATGTAAAAAAGAAGAAATACATTTACAACTGCAAATCGAAATGTCAAGCAGATTTGAATGAAAGATTTTCAATTTTTACGACCAAGTTCACTTGGCAATGAATCTTATATCATGTTCAATCAACTTTTTGATTTCTTCTGGTGGTCTGTACGGGCGCATTACGTTTGCGCACATTTAGGGATTAAATTTTTTTACGTGTGCGCGCAACTTTTGATTACATTTGCGCACATTTATTTTACAGGTAAAATAAAGGTAATATAATTAAGAATAATATAAAAATATAAATGACTATAATTTGTTAATTTTCATATTATAAATTTGACTATAAATTATTAATTTTGAAAAAAAAAATGGTAATTCAAATTATATATTGTTCATATTGAACTCTAAAACAAAATATAAAGTGATCATGATAAATCCCGTTAAATCGTAAGGCATACATGTAACTTCGTTGCGAATATTTCAGAGTGAATAGTGGTTCGTTTGTCTGAAACAAATCGGGGAAAAAATCATTTGTATACATTGTACATATTGATAGAACACTAAAGTCAGGGGATATTTTAAGGATTCCAAAGGCAGAATAAAAACTGACGAACATTCAACATCCATTCTAAATGGTAACTGTGAACATAAACACTAGGCCGATGCTAGAAAACTTGAGAGGGAGATTATCTGTGTAGTGGTAATAATAATACTTTATTCCAAAAGCAAGTACAGCTTACAGAATATATATATGCAGTGTCTGACAAATTAATTATGCATCCACCATATCACATAAACAGACATGTAATCAAATGTTAACTACATTTAAATACATCAAGTCACTCTTATACATAATACAATATTAAGTATAACGCAGAGTATGACATCTACAAAATTTTCAAAAATTAGCAGCGTAGTTTCTCAGCTGATTTTAAGTATTTACCAAGATTGTTTAGTTCTTTTTAAATATTTTATACAAATAACAATTGTATCAATTTATAAGTAGAGGGGTTTCTCCAATAATTATGTTTGATATATTTTTCCCTAATGTCAGCATGTTTATTACATTCCAATGAAAAATGAAATTCGTCTTCAATGGAAATTGTATTACATAATCTATCTTTCCTTTTTAAGTGTAAATAATAGAATAAATTAATAAATAAATAAGTATTATTACCTGTATTTACCTGTAAAAAAAATGCGCGCAAATGTAATAAAAAGCTGCGCGCAAACACGATGATTTTTGCGCGCAAATGTAATGGTAAAACACGCAAACGTAATGCACCAGTTTGTATGATGTTTGAAAGCATGCTTAGTGTGAGACTGACACAACAAAATCAAAATATGGAATGTTATGAGTTATGAGACTCGGAGGTATTGAAAAAGGCTTAAAAAAACAACTTGTATAGATTATAAACTTGGATTGAAGAAATAAAGTATATTTATTAACTCTTAGTGGTGTTTTGTAGATGGATGTGTAAACAAGTCATATATTTAATTTTAAAATTTCGTTCACGCAAAATCTCCCCGTCAGCTGTCATAAGTGAGTTGGAGATCTCCCTCTTTGAAGGTTTCAGAGGTTGGCAGGTATGGCATATAGTGCAATAAACTTGATTTTGGATGAAAAAAGAAAAAAAAAATATCAGATTACTCCTTATAGACATGATAGAAGCTATAGTTCCTCTTTATATTGCATTTAATGACAATTTTGTTTTCTAATATGTGACTGACAATGTATTAGTTTGTGATTAGGTCAGTATAATATGCAGTTGTTTAGCAGTGGCACATTTCATTTCCATGGTGATAATATGGCCATGCCCCCTCAGTCATGGTCTAGTGATTATGAAACTTTTGCTTACTTAACATATAAAAATAAGAAGATGTGGTATGACTGCCAATGAAACAAATCCACAAGAAACCAAATGACACAGAAATTAACAACTATAGATCACCGTATGGCCTTCAACAATGAGTAAAACCCATACCGCATAGTCAGCTTTAAATAGCCTGAAAATGACAAATGTAAAACAATTCAAACAAGAAAATTAACAGCCTGAATTATGTAAAAAATTATGAATAAAAAACAAATATAATATACAGCAACAAACGACAACCACTAAATTACAGGCTCCTGTCTTGGGACAGGCACATACAAAATGTGGTGGGGTTAAACAAAGTTGAAGGCGCCAACCCTTCCCTAACCTGGGACAGTGGCGTAACAGTATAACATAAGAACAAACCATAAAAATCAGTTGAAAAGGGCTTAACTCATCAGATGGATACAAAGCAGAAATACATCTAACAAAAACACAAGGTGGACATGGCAGGGTACTTATACATCATGATCACTGCAACAAAAAGACTCTTAGTACAGATCTGAGAGTACTCTCAGTAACTGACAGCTAGTTCAAAGCCAATACCAATGGATTTAAGGGGCCTTGGTGGCCGAGTGGTCTAAGTAGTTACTACTGTAATCACTAGCCAGTCAACACTGAGGTTGTGAGTTCGAACCCCGCTCTTGCGGGCGCACTCAAATCCAATCTTAATTGACTAGGATTGTCAGTTTTCCTATCAAAGGTCGGTGGTTTTCTCCGGGCACTCCGGCTTCCTCCACCAATAAAAACTGGCCGCCACGAATAGCCCAAAAGCGGAGCTTAAAAGTGGCATTAAAACACCAAAAATCAAATCAAATCAAATCCAATGGATTTAGTGTAAAGATGTCATTAACAGTCAGAGAAAAACATGACCTTGTGCAATGCCAAGATATAAGTTTTTGATTAGGTCAGTTTATAGGGAACCACTAGTGGTATGTCAATGATGTTTGGTATGCAGATACATAACTATGGCACATCTCATTTCCATGGAGACTTTTTGGCGCCGCCCCTTCAGTCATGGTCAATTGACTTTGAAAATTTTGCTTAGTTAACACATATTAGTTTGTGATTACATCAGTTTAAGTCAAGTATTAGCATTTGCAAGTCTTCTTTTCAATGGAGATTATTTGGCCCCACCCACTTTCAGGGTTCATTGACTTTAAAATGTTTACATTGTTTACAAGTTAAAGTTTGTGTTTAGGTTAGTGCTAAGGTAACCACCTTTGATTAGTCAATGGTATTTCGAGTTTTCTAAGCATTGGCATTTCAATGGAGGTTATTTGGTCCTGCACCTCAAGTCATGGTTCATTGACTTTGATTTTTTTGCACAGTATAAATGTTTAAATATTGCCAATTTGATGCATTATAATCAAAATGATAAACAAGTGACACATATATCTGTGTCAACAGATTGCCTACTTTTTCCTTTTTTTTTTACAGGTGACCAATTCAGGCTCTAAGGAGCCTCTTGTTGCAGAAAAATTTTAGTTTTTAAATTGTAAATTTTAGACATTATGCTTATGTTTGTTTTCAGACGCAAACCTATGATGGTCAATACAGTTTTAGTAATAATTGCTTCCGCTGTTGGAGGAACAACTTTCATCTCAGACTCAATATGGGTTTTGGTAATACACAGAATTTCAATTGGACTCTATTGCGGTAAATATTATTTTCTTCTTAGCTATTGTCATATTTTTGCATAGAAGTCCTCCTTCTTAGTTCATCATCACAAACTTTTAAAAATCTTCTTCTCTGAAACCGCTAGTCCAATTTCAACTAAATTTCGCTGAATATTACTCAGAATTTTAGTTTAAAGGCTTAGGTGTTTTGTTCCCACCAATCAACCAGCATGACCACCATGGTTGAAAATAGGACATAAAGTTGATATGCAGGGGAAAAAAACTTTCTCTGGGTAAAGTTTTTTGTTAAGATAGTTTTAATAAATTATGCAGTTAGGCGATCAGAAAAAAAGTCCTATAGTCTTTGCATTTTGAAAAAAAACAACAATGATTTTGGTCAAAGAGTCTGTAACCTTTGGAAACAATTTTAGAATCTGTTCTTCTGACTATGTGACCATCTCTTGTAACATTTTCTTATTTTGTTTGCTTTTTGAGAGTTTGTTTTTACGAATGTGTATAATTTGTTCTTTTCTAGGTATAGGTTTAGTATTATCAGGAATGTATGCCATGGAGATATCTAAGTTCACTCTGAATAGAGTCAAAGGATCATATGGCACATATGACAGATGGTTTCAGCTCTCAATTACTGCTGGGATTTGTATTTCTTCATTCTTAGGCATTAGTACATTTCTAGGTAAGAAAACAATACAGATTGGTTATTAAACTGTCTAGGTGATCTTTTTTAATACCCTGCATGCATGTTCATCTTGAGGGAGAACGTTGAAGTTCAGTGTTCAAACTGGTATTTGCTGCTGAATCAACTAACGAATAAAAACATCTCATAACCTACATATCAGCAATAAAATTCGAAGAAAATCTTCTTTTTATTTCTCAAGCTACAAGTTTTATTATAGTTTTTAACCTATCCATGGGTTAGTTCATCATTCTGTCAGTCCTTTTCTGTATGCTACCTCAAATACTTTAGATTGGAATGCAACCTTTCTTGTATCTAATGAGAGGATGATCCCCATGAATTATGAGGTCACCATGTCAAAGGTCAGGATTGCAATTACTAAAAATAAACTGAAATTTGTTCTGTTATGGAGTTTCCTGGTTCTTAATCAGTTAACACATATGGGATTGCTTTGAATATAATGAGTGGATAATCCCTATTACTTGTGACTTCAATACAGAAAAAAGTCAAGGTCAAACTTACTAAAAATATTCTGAAATGTATGTGGACTCTTAATGCTAAATAAAAAACTATATATTCGATTTCAACCAAACTTTGATATATAATAGAAAAAAAGAAGGATATGGGGTATCCATTCATGATACAAAATCAGTACATGCACAGCAAAAACGCACAAAAAGCAAAGGATCAGTGCTTTTATTGCTGTTTTCTTCATCTCAAAGTCACATGGTCACATAAAATGAAAGGAAGCTTCCTATTGATTATGAGGTCACTATGTTTTAGGTCAAGGCTATCATCACTAAAAATAGACCAAACTTTGTGCAGAACTGTGGTTTCAGGATAATAATAAAATACCCTTGACATATGAGACTGAACCTTTACTTGAATATGTGGTCATAGATATTAATTAAGAGGAATGTTTCAGTCGCTTGTTCTAAGGTCAATGTTCTTCTTCTTCTTCTTCAGTTTAAGAAAACCATACTGATGTTTACTTTCTGGCGTATGCGTGGTAAATGTTTCCAAATTTATAATTATATTAGACAAAGATTGAAATCAAAATTTGTTTTCCATATTTTTGTTATATTATATATTTTTACAATTTTTCTATGTTTTTAGATTTTTCGTTTTGAATTAAATTTTCTAATATTTAATTCTTTATTTTATTTCTTAATTTAAGATAAAAACATGATTGCCTTTTTACTTCAGGTGTGTATAGGTATCAAGGAGCACATCGTGAGTGAGTGCACACTTGAAGGTTTCTGTAGTGGTGTTTTTAATTATGTCGGAGGATAATTTGTCTTTAATGGTTTGACAAAAGAAAGAAATTTTGTATCTGTCTTTGTTTGTTACATTGGATTTGTCGGTAGGCATCTTAATTGGTGGATCTTGTATTTGACTGACTCTGCTGTAATAAATTTTGCGATGGAATGGCAATATTTTCTTTATAATTTTGTGGAACATTATTTTTTTTTTTTTTTTTTTTTTTTTTAAAGCTGTCAAGGTGAACAGATGTGTTTTTTAGAGCCCCAATACAAGTGCTTTTACTATAGATATTAAGGAACAAATCATGATTTAAATAACAACTTTAAGTAAACATGGATATAACTACATCATTTTTTCAAAACATTTCATCATTTTTTGGAGATTTTAGTGGATTTAATCTGGAGGAAGTTAATGAATACACAAAAGATTGTGAGTACTATGACTTTAGAGATTGTACAGACAGATCATGCTCATATGTCATTACATTTAAAGCTCCTGCAATCTTCAATATTTTCCAAAATATTCTATTTACAAGTTTTGACCAAACACTTTTTGAAGACAGGGAAAATAATGGTCTTGTATTTAACACCTTTCTAAATGGACAGAAGACAGTTCTTCATATATACAAACAAACATGTACTTTGCATGTCCAATGAAAAGGTTGCAAACAGTGGATTGACACTTATTTCAACAACATTGCAAAAATGTTGATTGAAAAAGTTAATGAAAACACTGAGATGTTAGAAGCTGCATCTCAACCAAAAGACAATAATGCTAAAGAGCTCAAATTGGAAAGTTCCCAAACAGAAATGAAACATTTCGAGTTTGACATACCTACTCGCTTATTAGTCGGAAAATTGGGAAGTAAAATTCATAATCCAGAGAGGGGGACCGACTAATAGACGAGATCTAGCGACCAGAGGAAAAATCCAAGCTTGAGAAAAGTGGTCAGGAGTGAATTTCCTGGTCAAAACTACGTTTTTGATTGCCAAACCTACATAAATCAATAAATAAAAAGTTTTTGTTGAAAATAAATGACTACAATACTGTCTTTGTGTTTAATTTGTTCTTTGGTAAACATTTTCTGCAAATTCGTGTTGAAATTCTACTGTTTCCGGTTTGTGTATTGATTTTCATGGTCACATGGTTTTCCTATAAACCCAAAAGAAGAGCCAAGAACCAAAAATGAAAAGGAGATAACAATGTACCAAATATGTGAAAGGATGTTTTCAGCAGAGTTATTGTGTCATTATTGTGATATCATGATATCAATTCAATGCTTATAAATCATATAATAATCAAAAATAATTTTAAGATTCATTCCCAAAATCAAAATATTATTCATTAAAGTGTCTCAGGTAAACAAAAATTACAAAATTGATTGACAAGCCAATATAATCCATTGATAACCCCAATTAAGAGACAAAGAGTTGTATTTACTAAAGGTGTGAAAACTATCAGTGATAGGTAAACAGATGACACTAATGAGTTGGAGTTAGTTATTTTAATATATTGATTAGCTTCACTTATTTTTTTTAATCCTTTAATCATCACAATATAATAAGAATTATGAAGTGTACATGCTCATTTAACACCCAGTTATGTATGCTGTGAAAAATATTTTCATCAAGTGTTGATTGACTTTAAATTTTTCAGGTTCATATTGGTTTATATTCGCTTTTCTCAAACAATAGGTTGTTAGTCATACCCTACAAAATCATTGATGCATTACGTAAACAACACATGGCTAATCTAACATTTGAACAGTGAACAAAACAAGAGAAATGAATACATCTTTATTATTAACAGCAATATTATCATGATGAGCATCAACTAAATTCAAACCAAACAAACATTAATGCAGAAATGAATATTATTCCTGGATTTGCATTGGTTTTACCGGCGTTCAGTTACTGTCAGCTGAAAAAAAAATGCCCAAATTTTGTCCGACTTATACGAGGGTCAAGACTAAATCCTTAGAATTTGGAGCTGAAAAGGGCCCCCGACTTATAGTAGGATCGACTATTAGGCGAGTTTATACGGTAAGTGAACACTCAGATATGGTGTCAGCTACCAGTTCATTTAATGAAACTGAAGTAAAGAACATCAAATTGAATCCTAGTGCTGCTTTTCTACTGACTTCAACACCCTGTGCTAAGCATTCTCTGGAACTAATGTTAAGATCGGAAATAGATCAATTAAAAGAACTGGTGTCGACTCTTATGGAGAAAGCGAATAACACCCCAACTTTTATTGATAAGCAAATTCAGTGCTCAAATGAAATGACAGACTCTGCAACTCAAACAGAAATAGAGAGGCCTAACAAAGACACAATAATGATGAGTAGGCATGAAATATCAGTACAAACTGTTGAGGAAGCACTAAATGTTAAAAGAATCAAAAGTCCTCAACAGCAACAAAAATCAGTACCAAGTCAATCAGTCTGAACTTCAAAAGGTACAGATGAAAATGGAATAAAGAACAAACTTATAATTGGCAGTTCTATCCTGCAAAGAATTAATTTGAGAGGATTGGACCGTAGTATCAAAGTCTCGACAAACCGAGGTGCAAATTTTAGGGATATTAGATCCAAACTGCAAAATACCAACATTGAAAACTGCAGTGAGATTATAATACAAGCAGGTGGAAATGATGCCAGTCGAAAGAGAGATCTGGTTTCCGTTCAAGAAGATTTAAAGAAAATTGTTATGAATATTCATGAAAGGTCACCAGACACAAAAGTTTTCATAGCAGAAGCAACACCAAGGATAGATTGTGATGTGGCGGGTATAAACAAAATTATTAAACAAACATGTGAAAACTATGATGCCGTTCAAATCAAAACAGAAAAAGAATTCGGAGTGAATAGACGAAAACTATTTTGGTATGATGGAATACATTTGACAGACTTGGGAACAGCTAAACTTCTGAAAATTTATAATAGTTATATTCCAATCCTAAAACAGAAGCAAAATACAAGCAAAAGCAACAAGTGTTTTAACTGTGGAGAAGGTGGACATAGTACTAGAAACTGTAACTTTGGACACAAAATTGAGTGTTATAAATGTGGTTATTTGGGACACAAATTAAAAAATTGCAAAAACAATTAGGGATGTGGCAAAGATAAGGAAGTTGAAATTACTGTAAATACATACACAAGGTTTGAGGTGTTAAGTAATATCTGTCAAGAATGTAACAAGGTGGCATGTGCTTGTGATTATGATAATCTTTTAATTGACATAAATGGAACATGTTCTAAATCCTTAATTAACAATAATGTAGACTCTGTATGTGTAATTAACAATATGGAAGTTCTCCCAGAGGCTAATGAGTGTGTCAATGCAAATAAGGGTGAAATAGTTGGTGAGAAAGGAAGTGGTCTGCAAATTGAATGCAAACGCATTAATGATCCTAAATTGCTTAATTCATTTGGTCTTCAAAAAAGGGGATTAAAAATTGCTAATCTCAATATTCAGCACATATTGCCAAAAATTGAGATCACATTATCCTTCTTCAAAAACTGCAGTGCTACAAAATTTCAAATTTATCATGTAACTGGTTTAAATCATATCTATCTCATAGATTCCAACAAGTTGAAAATGGGACAATCAAGCCAATGGCACTAGAAATAAAATCTGGAGTACCTCAAGGCTCCATATTAGGCCCCCTTTTATTTTTATTGTTCATTAATGATTTGCCCCTTCATATAACCTCATCTCAAGCAGACCTCTATGCAGATGATACTACCATTCACTGCACAGGTCGTAGTCTCAATACCATCCAGGACAGCATTACAAATGATTTAGACAGAATTGAAGAATGGTGCAAGGGAAATAAGATGTTTACAAATCCAACAAAAACTACATCTATGGTTATTGGTTCTAGACAGAAACTAGCAAAAACAGACCATGTTCTTAATTTGACTGTTGGTAACTCCCACATTAGAGATGTTAATGGCGAAAAGCTCCTAGGGGTTTTTATTGATGAAAATCTTGAGTGGACAGCCCAAATTGACACTTTGTGCACAAAAATCAGTACCAGGCTAAATCTTTTGTCTAGGATAAAGAAATCCCTCCCCCTGGAAACACGAAAGTTATACTTTAATGGTTATATTCTCCCTATTTTGGATTACTGTTGTACAATTTGGGGAAACACCAGTGATCGACCAAAATACAAATAGATTAGATAAACTTCAAAAATGAGCAGCTAGAATTATTCTTGAACTTCCTTATGATACCCCATCTAATACAATGTTTAAAAAGTTATCATGGCTTCGATTTACTGATCGTGTAATTTACCACAAGGCCTTATATGTTCATAAATGTTTATATGGATCTGTCCCAGAATATTTGTCTAACAAAATCTCCTATGTTACAAATAAAAATGGAATGCAACTTAGATCAAATACTACCCAATTATTTAATATACCAAAGGCAAGAACAAACACATTTAGAAGATCTTTTTCATATTCTGGCCCAACTTTATGGAATAAACTACCAGAAGCACTAAGACACATGTCAAACATAAATACTTTTAAAACAAACTGCTTTAAGTTTTTACTTGAAAATCCAGGAATTATTTAAATGATTATGTATCAATTTTGATTATGTTTTCTTATGTTTATCTTTGTTATGAAGAAATTGTGTGATGCATTGTGAGTGGAGGGTGAGGGCCTCAAGGGAGAATAGTGTTTATACTAATTGAGCATACCCTCTTGAAATAAAGATTATTATTATTATTATTACTACATGTACTATAGCCTTGTTCTTAGAAAGCATTCTTGTAATGTTTGCCATTTACTGGTGTCTAGCATCTCAGACACACTGATGGTGTTGTGATGTCTGTTACATGCATACCTTGCCCTCGTCTCTGTACTTTTTCTAATGATCGTATATGTTATAGATACAAAAATGAAAACAGATGGTTATATTAATATTAATGTCTAATATAATAACAGAAATAAAAAAATAATACCTTTGGTAAACATTTAAAAACAATTTAAGTCACTATAAGCTTTTCCCTATCATATATTATAGGTGTGGGGTATATGAGCTTGCTCATTTTTTATGCGCCCGTCAAAATTTTGACGGGACGTATTATGGTATACAAATGTTGTCTGTCCGTCTGTCCATCTGTCCATCTATCCGTCCGTCCGTATCTCAAAAACAATTTATGATTATTGCTTAAAACTTTACACACTTCTTAGTTTTATTAATCTTAAGATCTGTATACTTTTTGGTGATGATTCAAAATTTTATTTTTGAGTTATTGAGTATTTTGTAAAAAAAGGGGGAGGGGTTTTTCACATGTCGCGCCGTAGCTCAAAAACGATTTATGGTTATTGCTTAAAATTTTACACACTTCTTAGTTATATTAATCTTAAGATCTGTATACTTTTTGGTTTTGATTCAAAATTTTATTTTAGAGATATTGATTTCTTTTTTTTAAAAAGGGGGGTTTTCACATGTCGCGCCGTATCTCAAAAATGATATATGATTATTGCTTAAAATTTTACACACTTCTTAGTTATATTAATCTAAAGATCTGTATACTTTTTGGTTTTGATTCAAAATTTTATTTTAGAGATATTGATTTCTTTTTTTTAAAAAGGGGGGTTTTCACATGTCGCGCCGTATCTCAAAAATGATATATGATTATTGCTTAAAATTTTACACACTTCTTAGTTATATTAATCTAAAGATCTGTATACTTTTTGGTTTTGATTCAAAATTTTATTTTAGAGATATTGAGTTTTTTGTAAAAAAAGAGGGGGGTTTTTTCATGTTGCACCGTATGTCAGAAACTATTTATGATTATTGCATAAAAATTCACACACAAGACGACGGGTGTATCATGCGCTCATGGCGCAGCTGTTTATTAAAAGGTTCTTACATTTTTGGCAAAATTACAAAAACTAAATATCTATCATAATTGAAATGAAAAACAGAATACAAAGCAGAAATCAACATAACTTTGCATATGTGGTAAGTATATCAGGAATTTTAGATTCAAATTTTGCAAAAAGAAGTTTCAGGCCATAAAAAAGAATATGTTTGTTTGCCCTAACCCTACATACCAAGAAAATATCTGCCTACTCAAAATCTTTTATTGTCTTGATGTGAAAAAGTTTTTTTCAATCTGATAGGCATGAAGACTAAACAAAATCTGACACTTCAATTTCTCTTTGCCGAAAAAAAAAGAAGAAAATGCCTACCTACCTACCCACTGTCTCTACCTTTGGGTAGGGTTTGGGCAAACCAAAATATTTTTGGGTGTGGCCTCAGCATGTATTTTCCTTTATTCTTTGTTGCTGATACTCAAACTGATGAATGAACTAACTATAAAGTTTGTATTTTCTCAAAAACACCTTATTCCTGCTATACAATCGTTTTTCCAAGTAGTATTATAATAAGATGAATTCCTACCAGATTAGCAAGAATTCTGGTATGAATCTTATCATCCTGCCAAATTGGAATATATTCCTGGAATTTTCAGGGTTTTTTTCAGGCACATTACTGCTACATCCAAGCTGGAATATGTATACTTTCCTTTTAGTAATTCTTAACAAATGAAATTCCTACTGAATTCTGTGTTCATTCCAGCAGGAATAACAGGGGACTTTTTTCAATTTTAGTTGTTCTTTGATTAACTAAGATGTATAATTACCTTTAAGTTAGTAATAGCAAAATTATAGATATGATCATAGTTAATTATATTTAACTATCAGGCAATGAAGATAGATGGCAATGGTTATTAGTATTTAATATAGTACCTGCATTATCCAACGTCTTTCTTTACTGGTGTCCAGAAAGTCCAGTCTACTTAGTCATTCAAGGAAAGATTGACATGGCTAAAAAAGGTAATATATTAAAGTACATATGCAGGAATGCAGAGTATTTCAAACCATTTGTAACAAGGCACATAGTATTGTAGTAGAAATATGACTGTTTTATTACTGTGAATGTGCAAGTGGATTTAAGGTGGCTAGGGCGTCTTAATTAAAATTGATAGAATTTTTTAATAATTTGTCAAAATGAAGTATTTATCATGCTTTTTTCAAAAATATAATAAAAAGTGTAGGTCACTGGACTTTTTTTCATGCTACAGATAGTGCAAAATTGTCAGATTTTGTGTAGATAATGCATGGAAAATCAAATTTTGTGTGATAAAAAGAAAACTACCTGATAGAATTTTAAGATATAATGTGAGAAGATAGCTCTTATAACATGCTTTCAGATAAGAAAAAGAAAAAATGGGGTCACCGAACTTGTTTTCTTGCTACAGATTAAAATAGGTAAATTCACAACACTTTCTATTATAAAAATGACTTTATCGGTTTTATCTCCCCTTATTTGGCAAAGTTGAAAACAAATTAATCAAACACAAATAAGGTGTTTTTGAGAAATTACAGCCATAATTGTGATAAAACATACAATTTTCTATAATTATATCCAAAGTCTTACACATAAATTGCATACTACTCTCAAAATTTGCAAATGTAATCAAAGATCTAGACTAACGTTATCTGCTACTTCAGAATCCAAGATGGAGGAAGACACCTTAAATCTTTTCTCATGTAAGAACTACCCTTATAAGTTAATGTATCCACTTAGTGTATACACTTCACCTGGCAAAATTAATGGATTTAAAAAAAAAGCACTTTGCAGGGGTCTCATATATATATTGCTCTGAATGTAAGTCTAAGGCAAGCTGCTGAGACAACAAAATTACAACATGTTTGACCCCAAATATTAAGCTGTCAGCAGTGACATGACAATCACAGAGCTCTGAACATATGAATATCATCTGAAATTGCTATAACACATGTTTTATCTTAGTCTCAGATATTATTGATAAAAATCTACACATTGCCAAAGTTGCCTCTGATATTGAATGTGATGATAATGAAGCAGAGTCTGACTCACACTTCAACTTTATAAATCATGACAACATTTCGTTTAAAACTATTTACCATAATTTGAAAAATAAAATGCCGACAAGCAATGTCAACGGTTTGTTATAATAACGATTAAACTCAACAAAAACCAGGGGTGATCGTATATGCTCTAGAAAGGTAATCAGTTACTGCCCCACCAGTTTATATAAATTGACAGAAAATACAAAACAGTTGAAACAAACCAAACATAAATTTAACAAAAAGTTGCTTGTCAGCTTGACAACTTGAATGAGGTACGAAATGACTATTTCTCATTTTTATACGCCCGTTTACGGGACATATTATGGTATACCGTTGACCGTCTGTCCGTCCGTCCGTCGTCAACATGTCGGACATTGATTCAAAAACGCTTTAACCAATATGCATGAAACTTTTGTGAATTGTTTATATCTATTGACGTGAGCTCCCTTTCGTTTTTTATAAATTTTCGGGTTTACCGTTTCAGAGTTTTGAGGTTTCATTTTTTTTTAAACAAGAGGCTCTCAAGAGCCTGAATCGCTCACCTGTATTTCAGAGGAGAAGATTTTTAAATGTTAGCAAACTTGATGAACAAATTGTGTAAAATTGTCTTTAAAGGGCAATAACTCCTTAAGGGGTCAATTGACAATTATGGTCATATTAACTTTTTTGTAGATCTTACTTTGCTGAACATTATTGCTGCTTACAGTTTATATATATCTATAATAATATTCAAAATAATAACAAAAAACTGCAAAATTTTGTTAAAACTACCAATTCGGTGGCAGCAACCCAACAATGGGTTGTTCGATTCATCTGAAAATTTCAGAGCTGATAGATCTTGACCAACTGAAAAATTTTACCCCATGTCAGATTTGCTCTAAAAGCTTTAGTTTTTGAGATATAAGCCAAAAACTGCATTTGACCCCTATGTTCTATTTTTAGCCATGGCAGCCATGTTTGTCGATGGATCAAAACTTTGGATACAATTTATAAACTAGATACCCTAAGGAACATTTAGTTAAAGTTTGAAGGTATTTGGCACAGTAGTTTCAGAGGGGAAGATTTTTTAAATAGTTTACGACGACAACAGACGACGACGACAGAAGATGGATTACCAAAACAGGCTACTGATAGCTACTTAATGGAAAATCTGTGAGGTCCTGAAATAATAAATAACTGAAAAGATATATACATATATATATTGGGATTATTGTTAAACATGTTATTCCACATCTTTTTCAGCTCTTGAGATCTTATGTCCATCAAATGCTGTGGAAACTGAACTAGATCATTTGAAAGAGGAAGTCTCACATCAGAAGGATAAAACATTCTTGAATCTAAGAAAGTTGTTCAATGAACCAAAGTTAAGAGTTGGTTTGTTTCTTGTATGTTTCCTGCAAGTCGCTCAACAGTTGTCTGGAATTAACACAGTAGGTATTATTTTTACATTGACTGCATAAATGGAAAAAATTTGTGTACTACTGGCAAAATTTTACCAAATAAACCGATTTATAAAATTTTGGACTGAAAAATAAAATTGACAATTTTTAAACTAGTTTTTTAATAATTGTCACAATGTTTGATTGTAGTGAACATTTATCAATCACAATCCAGTTCATTAACTTTTGAACCGTTCAACTAGTGCTTTTCAAATATTCATATGTTAATTGTTACTGATGACAAATTGGCCGCAGAGTTCGATAATGACAATTTTCACTTTTGCCATTCAGAAGTGATGATCTGTTTAGTTAATAGATTAGAAAATGGGACTTTATAAGTCAAACAAGCTAAAAAAAAATTTCGAAATTAGCACTATTATATAAGGTATTCGAAAAATCAGGAATCAGAACATTATTTTGTCATCTGCTTGACCTAAATATATTTTTTCTCATAAAATTGGGGATCAGAATATTTTTTTAGGAAAAAACCATAACCCCCCTTTTGAAGTTAAATGGTGAATCCCTTAGTGTACTGATATGAATAGTAATATACTGGAATTGTTTGAAAAAAATATAGTTATTGATGCCAACGTAAATATTTTAATAAAAAAGACAGGAAATATGTCGGTGAAACAAAAAGTTCAAATCTAATTGAAATTAAAAGTGCCCATGAACTCCCTGATCATGCACGATTGATTCTATTCATAAAAAGTGTCCATGTAACAACTAAAAAGTGTCTGTGTAACACCCGTTAATGTACTGTTTTTCTATAGCTCTGCTGGGGGCAAAGTCGTACAAACAGCAAAAATGATCTATATATATGTCTATGTGAATGAAAATGTAAATCTATTCCTTTGATACAGGAGTTGTTGCCCCTAAATTAGAATTTCAACCCATTTTCTTTTTCATTTCTGCTAACTATATTGGATAGACAGAAACTTCATCCAGCAAAAATGATTTAATAGCAAGACAAGAATTTGTCTCACAAAGTTTCAGTTCATCACAAATAATCTTGTTGCATAATATGAATTATATGCAAAAATGCCAGGTGATGAACACAGGCTTCATGTTACTTTCAATATAAATTCAATCATTAATGATATAAAGCAGGAAAGACATTTCAGCATGTGCACTCTTGTTTTTAGTAAATATAATAGATGTTGAGACACTGTAAATGGTAAAACTGTTCAAAATAATAAGATTACAAATGGCTGAAATTGTAAACTGTCTCCTTATAAGAATTATTACCCCTGAAGACAATTTCAACAAATTTTAGCATTTTTTTGGAGAAACTGTAATAGAGAGAAACTATTAGAAAAAAAAAGAATTAGATATAATGCGTGATGGCCAAAATTGTCAAATGACCCTTTATAGGAGTGATTGCCATTGAAAAATGATTTTTACCCATTTTGGCATATTTTGGCAGAAACCATAATGAGGCACACCACTAATTCATCGCCCCATTGCTTTCTATGTTTAAATTCCTCAATTTCAAGCAGTCACAGCCCTTTTGTCTTAAGCTCAAATAAAGCGACAGCCATTGCATGTCAAAGCAACATTACGTGGTCTTGTACTGAAAAAAATCAACATACCTTTAATTGCATATATAACTTTTCTCATCACTTGGTGTCCTTCATCCTTAGTCGTCGTCCATCTTCGTACGTCATCTTTCAACCCTCTCTCATCTTGCAATAGTATTAAAACATTTGACTTTTCTACACTTTACACAAGTATTCCCCATTCCAAACTACCGGTAAAAGACAAATTGAAAGAGTTGGTATTACTTTGTTTCATTAAAAAGAATGGCGAATGTAGATACAAGTATCTTGTCTTGGGGAGGGATAAATCCTACTTTGTAAAGATTCATCTGATTCAAACAAAAAATTTTCTTAAACTGACATTATCAAGATGCTTGATTTCTTGATTGACAACATATTTGTTACGTTTGGAGGACGTGTTTTTCAACAGACTGTCAGAATTCCAAGGGGAACCAATTGTGCCCCTCTTCTTGCCGACTTGTTTCTTTGTTATTATAAGGCTGACTTCATACAGGAACTTCTTAGGAAGAAAGATAAGAAGTTAGCAATATCCTTTAACTCTACGTTCCGCTATATAGATGATGTTCTCTCACTAAATAATACAAAATTTGGTGACTATGTTGAAAGAATCTATCCCATCGAACTAGAGATAAAGGATACTACAGATACAGTTAAGTCTGCCTCATATCTTGACTTACATCTAGAAATTGACAATGAGGGTCGGTTGAAAACAAAACTTTACGACAAAAGAGATGATTTCAGCTTCCAAATTGTGAACTTTCCATTAATATTTCTATGTAGCAACATTCCAGCAGCGCCTGCATACGGAGTATATATCTCCCAATTGATACGATATTCCTGGGCTTGTGTTTCCTATCATGATTTCCTTGATAGAGGATTGCTGATCACAAGGAACCTATTAAACCAAGAGTTCCAAATGGTGAAGTTGAAATCATCCCTTCGTAAATTTTATGGACGCCATCACGAGTTGGTTGACCGTTATGGAATAACCGTTTCACAGATGATATCGGATATGTTCCTTATGTCGTAATTACAATACCCCCCCTTTTCACGAATGTGACTTACCGAATTAGACTATTTACCGGATTTGTAATAACATAAGCAACACGACGGGTGCCACATGTGGAGCAGGATCTGCTTACCCTTCTGGAGCACCTGAGAACACCCCCGGTTTTTGGTGGGGTTCGTGTTGCTTAGTCTTTGGTTTTCTATGTTGTGTCATCTGTACTATTGTTTGTCTGTTTGTCTTTTTTTTTTGGCCATGGCATTGTCAGTGTGTTTTTTGATCTATGAGTTTGACTGTCCCTCTGGTGTCTTTCGTCCCTCTTTCACTTTTACAAAAATCTTCTCCTCTGAAAGTACAAGGCCAAAGGAGTAAGTTCAGTAAGGGCCAAATTTGGCCCCGATTATTCAAGTTCAATGTTTCAGGATAAAATGTGTTTTAAGTTGATGAAAAGACATGTGAGAAAGTTATGTAGAACTATCGTTGCCAGAGTTTTATTTTTAAGCATTAATTTTGACATCCCAAATAGGTTAAAAATAGAGATTTTTGCGAAATGAGACAAAATCGTCCGGATTTCAACAAAATTAAGACCTAGGAAACATAGAGTGCAGGCGTCGACAAACAAAATATTCAAGTCAGATATGTAAAATGTCATAACAAACATAAGGCTTAAATATCTTTGTTGTCGACGCATGCTCTCTATGTTTCCTCTCCAAAAAATCAACGTAAATTTACCCTTTTTCATCGAATTTCATTATCGAACCTACTCCTTTACCAAACTTGGCCACAATCATCATTAGGGTATTTAGTTTTAAAAATGTGTCCAATGACCCCACCTGCCAACCAAGATGACCGACATGGCTAAAAATAAACCATAGGGGTAAAATGCAAGTTTTGTCTATTATTTTGAAAACCCCTATAAATAAAGAATATCTGAAAGCGGCAGAAATGTTCAAAATGTTGAGCTCTACCAATTGCTTATATGTGTCAAAACTGTTAGTATAAGTGTATGGATCTCTATTCAATTTTAGCACAAGGTTTCATACCACATTAGGAAGGTTGTGATTTATTTTGGGGTTATTGTTGTAGCTGTTTATGAATTAAGGGCCAAAAACAAGCATTTTTCATGTTTCAGGACAATAATTGGTGTATAAGATTATAGATTTCTATGAAATTTTACCACAAGGTTCCATACTTCAAAAGGAAAGTTTAGAATGATTTTTGAGGGTCTTGGCCCATACCGTTTAATAATCAGGGTTCGAATAGGAGCCTAAACAAATATTTTTCTGGTTTGCAGGCAATAACTTGAGTATAAGTGTATGGATCTCTATTCAATTTTAGCACAAGGTTCCATACCACAATAGGAAGGTTGTAATTTATTTTGGGGGTTATTATAATAGCTTTTTAGGAATTAGGGGCCAAAAAGGGCCTAGGAAAAACAATTATTTGTCTGGTTCATAGACAATAACTTGAGTATAACTGTATAGATAAGTATTAAATTTAAACACAAGGTTCCATTCCACAATAGGAAGGTTGGGATTTATTTTGGGGGTTATTATTGTTGCTGTTTAGTAATTAAGGACCACAAAGGGGTAAAAATCAAGCATTTTTCATGTTTCAGGACACTAATTTGTGTGTTAGAGTGGATTGTTATGAAATTTTACTACAAGGTTCCATACGTCAAAAGGAAAGTTGGGATTGATTTTAGGGATCATGGTCCAAACTGTTTTATAATAAGGGGATGAAAAGGGGCTAAAAAACTAGGATTTTCTGATTTCTGGACAATAACTTGAGTATAAGTCCATTTATTGCTTTTTAATTGTGCCACAAGGTGTTATACCATAAAATAAAGTTTGGGATTGATTTTAGCATTATACCATAAAATAAAGTTTGGGATTGATTTTAGGCATTATGACCCAATTGGTTTAGTTAAAAGGGGCCAAAACCAATACTTTGTATAAATTGCTTATTTTTTAGCAATTTCAATGGGGTTTAATTCAAAAGTCTTGAATTCTTTGGAGTCTTTAATATGCTGAATCTAATTGGGTATTTAATATTTGGATTTTAGGGTCTGTTTTTGTAGCGTCCAAAATTCAATTTGTTTGATTTCTTTAAAGATTAAATTATTGGTGTTCCTTGATATGCTGAATCTAATTGTGTATTTAGATTTTTTTTGATTTTGAGGTCTGTCTTAAAATTGGTCCACATTAAGGTCCAAAGGGTCCAAAATACAACTTTTTTTTATTTAAAAAAAAAATGAATCCTTAGGGTTCTTTGATATGAATTTATTTAATAAGTGTGTATTTAGATTTTTGATTTGGGGCATGGTCTGCCCACATTAAGGTCCAAAGGGTCCAAAATTAAACTTTTTTTTTTTGTTTGATTTATAAAAAAAAGAATGGTTGGGGTTCTTTGATATGCTGAATCTAAGCCTGTATTTAGATATTTAATTTTGGGCACAGTATTCAAGATGGTCCAAATTGGGGGCCAAAATTGAACATTGTTTGATTTCATCAAAAATTAAATTGTTTGTGTTATTTGATATGGTCAATCCAACAGTGTTTAAGATTTTTTTATTTTGCTTGGTTTTCAAAGTTGGTCCAAATTTGGGTCCCAAATTAAACTTTGTTTGATTTCTTAATAAATTAAATCATTGGTGTTCTTTAATGTGTGCAATCTAACAGTGTTTTAAATTTTTGATTTTGGGCCTGTTTTTCAAACTGGACCCCATAAAGGTCCAAAGTATCTAAAATAAAACTCAGTTTGATTGTAACAAAAAATGAAAAATGTGAGTATTTGATATGCTGAATCCTACCATGTATTTAGAATTTGAATATTGGGCCATAATTGGTAAATGTCTAATTATACCCCACGCAACGAGTTGCGAAGGGTATAATGTTTTTGACCCGTCCATCCGTCAGTCTGTCAGTCCTGTTTCTTGTCATCCCAACTCCTCTCAAACCACACAACAGATAATAAGGACATACTATGTAGTTGTGCATATCGACAGGAAATTACGATTCAATTCTTTTTCTAGGAGTTATGCCCCTTTGAACTTATTTACTTTAATGAACTACTGCAACAGTTTGTCATCGCAACTCCTCTCAAACCACACAACAGAATTTCATGAAACCATGAAAAAGGATAATAAGGACATATACTACGTAGATGTGCATATCAACAGGAAATAGATTCAATTTTTTTTTCCAGGAGTTACGCCCCTTTGAACTTATTTGCTTAATATACTACTGCAACCTTTTGTCATCGCAACTCCTCTCAAACCACACAACAGAATTTCATGAAACTGTGTAGATAATAAGGACATACTATGTAGATGTGCATATTGACAGGAAATTATGATTCAATTTTTTTTTCTGATACATTTTTTTTTCATACACTTATTTTATTTCTCCAATGACAATGTGGGGACGTGAGGTATGTGAGCGCTTTCACTAAGGTTCTTTCATTTTAGAATTATTTAAGAATTTATACCACATTCATTCTGTGTCAGAAACTATGCTATTATTACATATTTGCTCAGAATCTAAATTCAGAGATGTTAATGGACAATTAACAGAAATCTTAAGTTAATTCATAGTTGAAAATAGATAAAATATCATATCTAATTTTAGAGAACTATTTTTGTGGTTTACATCACTGGTTCATTTAAAATAAATGGGTTCATGGAAAATAAATTGGTTCACAGACAATAACTTTAGTATAAGTGTATGGTTGTGTAAGAAATTTTACCACAATAGGAGGGTTGGAATATTAAATAGTTAATCAAGCTCTACATTTATAGACTTATTGTAAACTAATAGAAATTTTAAATTGAGTCATAGTTTAAAATAGATTTGCTGATTCAGATATATTAATTGTGGTGATAATTGTGTATGCATTGTGTTTTATTTAAAGATTGTTAACATGTTTGAATATTTTCTTATGGTTTAAAATTCCCTTCGAAATTAAAATAGACCTTTGTCCATCTGTTGAAGTTGAAGTGTAGGTAAGTGAAGTTTTTAAATACAGTTGTGCCATACATTATGTTGTGTTACATCTTAATAAAAAAAAATGTTATTTTTAGATAGTAATCTATTTTTATTAAAGGATATATTTCATTACAATACATTGTGTAGATAAAGTTGCTGACATTAATAGATAAGTTGCAGATATTAGTTTATGACAAATGAAAGAAAAATATATTGGGAACTATTAATTATATATATAAAGTTTGATTACACTAAGTGTTTTTAAATAATTTTCACCTAACATCAAGATTACAAAACATGTGGTAATTATCAATCACACAATTATAATTGGAGTGACAGATTTATTTGAAAATTTTGTGTTTTTCCTAAGTGTTGTTGATGATTAACTCTGCAGGACAGTATAAATATAGTTTGAAATTTACTGCTCATTATTAGATATTTTGAAGATAATTACAAATAAGTTTTATAGATTTTTTAAAGACATTGTATTAATGATAAATGATAACTTGTAAAAAAAAATTCTTTTCTTTGGTAAATTGTTTGAAGAATTTTGTTGTAGGTTTGTTTGTTATTCTGTATAAACTAATTTTCTGAATGCTATATATATACATATATTTTTTTGATGAATCAAACTCCTTTAAAAACTAAGCTTATATTGTCTATTAATAAACATGTATTTAGATTTTTGATTTTGGGCCCAGTTTTCAAGATGGTCCAAATCGGGGTCCAAAATTAAACTGTGTTTGATTTCAACATAAATTGAAATTATGGGGTTCTTTGAAATGCTGAATCTAACCATGTATTTAGATTTTGGATTTTGGGCTCTTTTATCAAATTGGTCCACATTGAGGTCCAAAGGGTCCTAAATTAAACTTTTGTTTGATTTCATCAAAAATTGAATTCTTGGGGTTCTTTGATATGCTGATTCTAACCATATACTTAGATTTTGGATATTGGACCATAATAGATAAATGTCCAATTTCAAATTTTTCATTTCTTTGACCACAAACCTATGCTGTGTCAATTATTCAATCACAATCCAAATTCAGAGCTGTTTTAAGCTTAAATGTTGTGTCCATACTCGCCTCAACTGTTCAGGGTTTCGACCTCTGCGGCTGTATCAAGCTTGCCCCTAACAGAGCATTTTATTACACATATTTGCATTTTTTACAAAAACCATTATGTATTTAGACAAACTGTACACTGTAAAAATAAGGTTTACAGATAAGTCAACAAATCCAAATTGTCAGGTGACACCTTATATGATCAAGTTACTGTCCTTGCAAGGTGACTTTTAACCATTTTTGCATTTTTGCAGAAACTTTTATAGTGATAGAGACAAGTTGATATTCGATAGCAAGAATGTACAATAAGATCTAAAATTATGCCATTATGGCAGTTCAGTCAACCTACTCCTAGTAGGAGTTATTGCTCCTGAATGATCATTTTACCCATTTTTGAATTTTTTGCAGAAGATTTTTTAAGTATTGATAAATGGACTTAGTTTTTACAGCCAACATCACACTTTGACAACGACAGAAGCAAAAGTATGAAAAACACCCTTTACAAGTTTCTTTTTAAATTAGGGACTGCTCATTAATCAGCGGAAGGCTATAGCATGTATAGAAATCAGTTTGTCCATCACAAATAGTTTCTGCTCTCAACTTTCAAATGCCATAGAGTGGGGCAATTTATTTTTCAGGTAACTGCTTACTCAGGTTTTATATATCAAGGTTCAGGTGTAGAAATAGAACTTATCCATTGGATGGTTTTTGGAACAACACTGATAAATTTCATCATGACCACGTTTTCGTTGACTGTTATGCAGAACTATGGAAGGAGATCAGTTATGATAGAAAGTACAAAATTTATGGGAGTAGCATTTGCTGTACTATTCATTTCCAGTAATCTATGTCAGGTATTGTTTGATCACCTGGCCACATAGGCCATTGTCATATGTTATAAAGGAGTAGGATCGTTTAGGTTCTTAAATGGCCTAAAATTAGCTTAAATATCAATTTAGGATTTATTGACCAATATTACAATGAATCATAGTTAAAACATTGACTAGGTAGGAAATATTACTTTTTTATTGAAAATGTACGTATTTACATTCTTTTGGTGACGTCACACATAGCACACATATTGATTTTCCACAAAAATTAAAGAAAACAGAAAAATTTCGATTGTTTTTTGGACTGCATTCGTCCAAGAAAGATATTTTAACAAATTGTTTATTGTAACATTTTACAAATATGATTTGAATATTAAGCTTGTACAAGCCTATGCTTTATGTTTCCTAGGCTAAATTTGGTAGAAATCCAGAAGATTTTTTTCAATTTTCATCAAAATCTCGACCTTTGGCCTATTTAGGTCGTAAGTGATAAGGCTTTATAAGAAAAGCTACACAAAAAAGTGCTATTTCACTTTCTTACGTGTCTTTTCATCCACTTGAAACATTTTTTATCTTCAAACAATGGACTTAATATTTGAGGCCAAATAAGACCCTTACTGAATTTACTTCTTTATAATTAAACTGCTAAATATTCAAATATATTTCAGTACAAATCGTCTCAGTATGCTTTTTGTTGTTGCAGATCAAAAACATTCATTCAATCAGCAACTTGTAGTCAGTTTCAACCAGCTCCTATGTAATAAAAATAGTTTCCTCATTTTATTCAGACTATTTCATCATGTTGATGTAAAGATTGATAAGAATTTAGAACACAGGTATCAAGCATAAATGTATATAAAAAGTTTAACTTTAATATGAATTCATAATATAACTATTCAGGAAGAATTTTTCGCAATAATTTATTGGCCTGTATGTATAAACAATATTCCATAGTAGAGGACATAATTCCCTAATGAAATAGAATTCAAGTAATCATATTTATTTCATGGAGGCTTTTATTTGTTTTACAGGAATTATATGAACATTTTGAAATACTTTTTTTTATGTTAAATATGTTTAAAAATACAAAATTAAAATGAAGCATTTATTTTCAGAGTTTTCAAAACCTTTGTCCATACATTGCAATTGTATCAGTTTTTGTTTACATTGTCTGCTATTCCTTAGGATTAGGTAAGTAAAATTGTATGTTTTTTTAAAGGCAGTGCTTTAATGCCTTTCTAGTTGCCGGGTTAATTCTTCCTTCCGCGATATCCATTTTATCTACGTGGGGGGTCGTTAGGCTCCAAGTAGATCCGGAAATGTTGAATTCTCTCCTCTTCTTATTGCGATATAAAATGTTTTTTGTTTCATTTCATTTACATTGGGAAATAGAGAAACGATCATTGTGTTTTGTTAGTTTTAAAAACTTTAAATATATTTGTATTTTGCATTATAAGCAGTCAACCGATTGACAAACTAGAATTATTTGAAATCCGTGTGGAAAGAGCTCGGGTTAATTTCGAGTGTTATCTGCAATCTATATGTTTATAAATCATTTCAGTCGTTGATATAATAATTAGAGGTCGACTGAACATGAAGTATATTATACAATTTAAAGCGCATTTCTGTTTATGCACGTGAACCCGTCTAACGTTATTATTATTTCGCAGTTATACAAAGTAGCAAATTATCGTTCCTGAATAGGTGGCGCCGTGGTAGCCGATACTGTTCCTCAATTTCCGGTTTCTGCACTGTGCAACTATTTAGTTACATTTTTAATTAACGATGCCAAGTACTTGTTGTTGTGTACCTGGGTGTCATTTAAGAGGAGGACATGCATTTCCAAATGACTTAAAAAGAAGGAAAAGTTGGATCAACGCCATGGCCCATACGCAGATTGGACGAGAACACGATGAAATCGTAGAGTCCATCTCAATCAGCTGTTGTTTGCAAGGCACATTTTACTGAAAAAGACTACGTGCAGGAAACTATTCATGGTAAAACTCTATTTTCTTTTTGAAATATATAGTTATATATGTAATCGCCATGCGAATAAACCAAATTCTGTTTACAACCGCAATTATCGTTTTAGAATAAAAGGGGGTGGTTAATTCAAGACGTCATAATTTTTTGGATTACGATTCAATGTGATCTGTTTGAGATTTTTTGGTGATTGCTACAATTATAATGATTTCTTACAAGAGGTATATCATACTGAGAATGGATCTCCTGTAGTTGGTGATCGCAATACTGGTATACTAGTATTGTGCACAATACTGGTATAAAAATTTTGTACCAGTATTGTATTCCAGTATTGTACCAGTATTGTGTTTTTTTAAAATAAACAATACATATAGGTAATTAATCTTTTATTAAAGGTCACTGTCACATATATATGCATAATGATATTAACATAAGACATGACAATTTTATATGGAATGATTGTATGTTTAACTGATGATGCCATTGATGGTACACTGTGATTGTAATCAAAGAAAGTTTTAAATCTTCTGATGTTTTTTTCTTGAGGGAACCGTACTGTCTCAGCATTTTAACAAACTCTTTACTTTCTTCTATGTTTTCTTCCAGCTCTCTCTTTCCAAGTCTCAATAGTATATTTTAGTGAATTTTATATTGACATTAATGCTGTTATAGCTTCTGTATCATCAGCATTGGTATTGTTTATTTCTTCTTCAGATGGCATTTCTGCAATCCTCAATTCCTATATTGATATTTAAGTATTCAGTCTGTGGACTTTCTCTTACGCTTACTAGATTACAAGCTTGTTTAGATAGCACCTGTACGGCTCTCTTACTGTAGGAGTGCTTGTCTAGTATTAGTGTTTGAGTATTTGTACCAGTAGATATATCTGCTACAAATTGTATTGCCCATGGTTCTGAATCAACTGCTTTAACTACCCTTAACATTCATGTAGACCAACTAGTAAAAGTAGTTAATTTGATTATAATCAGATTCCCCTATTAGGCAACTTTTTATGTTAAATGGATATTGATATCTTTTATCGTGTTTATTGTGAAAGATTGATAAGAAAATAAAGACAAACAAATGCTTAGAATCTTAGTATACATGTATTTAAATATCTGTAAAAAATACGATGGCATACATGTACATGTAAATGCTGAATTTACAGTGTTATAGTGTAATAATTTGCTTGAATTTATTAAATAATAACTCAGATAATAAAGCTTTTATTTTATTTTATCTTAATTGAATTAAATAAAATATAGAAATATGATAAAATTTTTAGCAATTATTTATATAATTAACAATTGTTTGAATAAGATGATTTAAGGTAGCACTACAGTCTAACAATGATTTTTTGAAGATATTTTTTTTATCACATAATTTTGAATTAAGTTTTATTCTGCACTGTTTGTAAAAATCCCAAAGTCATTATCATATCACAACAGGGAGTAAATTGATAATGAACTTATGTAAATAAAAGCACATGGTAATTAATCTAAATATATAGGCATTTGGGAGGGGCTAATATGTCAATCATCTGTTGATACCAGTGTCCAGATGTTAATCCCTGACCACAAGATAAATATTGTGGTCTTATCTCATTGTATTGCAACAAAAGTAATTTATATAACATGTTTATAAACAGAGAAAAAGAAAAAGATATGAAAAGGAAAAAATCTAAAGGGAAGAAATCTACAAAAAATGAAAAAAAAATATGGAAAAGAGTGTGAAAGTATCTTTGAAAGCATCTGACTGCCTGTATAAATTTCTTCTATTTGGTCTTCTACATTTAAATACAGTTTTAGGCATTTTAACCAATTTTAAGTTTATGTGAAATTATTCAATTCCATAAAACTCAAAAATCATGTGGGAGCGTCTTTTTTTAAAGAAGTGGATGGTCTTGGATCTTTTTATGAACATGTCTTTTGATGCACAATTTGAATGTTCTAGCTAATTTCAGTAATAGTATATTTCTTTTTAAAATACAAATGAAAATTATTCTTTATAGTGAGAATAATGATGTTAAATATTGATTATATGCAGCTGGTCAATCCTGTTATTCTCTTATCTTAGACTGTCTGGACAGAGGCGGAGCTTTGTCTATATTTAATTACTACATCACAGATATTGGTCAAATCTGTGACGTCAAACTCCCGTCAAATGCCAAGTTAGTGTTGCACAGTGCCACACATAGTGCAAAATTTACAGCATTAGAGCATCAAAGAGACAAAGTGTGTGGTTCTATTGATAAAGTAATGGTGTCAGAACCCCCCTGGGGTGTTCCCAGTGGAATTTTTGTATTTATGTTGCATTTATAGGGGTTCTAAGGGGGAAATTCCGTTTTTATGTCATTTCTCAGAACAATTTTTCATGAGATTTGTTAGGAAAAAATGAAAATATAAACTTTATGGGTACCCCCTTTGGCTTGACTTTGATATATGTGATTAAAGGGAGTATTTTCTACAATACCGTGTCCCAGTTTTTGGATAATTTGTTTCTAAATGAATTTATAGGTCTCCAAAGATGAAAGGTGAAATGGGTTTTGGCACCCAGCAGTTAAATCAATATATCTTCTTACTGGAGGCATATATCAAAAATCTGAGACACGGTTTTGCAGCTTGTATATAGTTGATTAAAGGGATGAAAACAAATGTTTACTACCATTTGACCTGAATGTGCCATTTCCATCAAAGTTGGAAGACCACTTTTTTGGCAATTAATGAGCTATATTTTGAGATTTATCATACCAAAAATAAATTTATCTATGGATTAAGAAAGAGTAATATTTCAACTTTAAAATGAGTTAAAGATTTTAAAAATCCATTGAGTAGTTTTGGAGAAATTAATCTTTAAAGACTGTTGGTTGGAGTCAGAAAATTCTGACAGTAGTGCTACCTTAATTACAATAATCTTTTGTTTATTTGTACAAGTATAGTAATTATTTTTAACTGGTTGTTAATTGATTTCACAATTATGTATTAGATACTATACAAAGGTAACAAAGAAACAGGCCGGTAACAACCGTTGCCGGATAGTTTTTCTGCACGAGTAGTCAGGTCAAGGTCCGAGGCGATAGCCGAGGACCTTGACCTGACTACAAGTGCAGAAAAACTATACGGCAGGTTGTTTCCGGCCTGTTGTTTTGTTACTTTTGTTTTGTATCTGACTTGTACGACGTTTCAAGAAAGTAATAATACATTTTGCAAGACTAAACATTTGAGAAACTTAGATAGCCATAAAGCAGTAAATGTAAGTTATAGTATAAACACATTTTTTTTTCATTTCCCTTCAACCGAGAGTTTTTTTCAAGAAAAAAATCAGGAATCTAATAATTTGATAAAAAAGAACCATTTCAAGTAAAAGATGAATGTTGTACACATTTAAGACTTTTTTAAAATGCAACTTCGTAAAAAAGTAATATATTAAAGAAATATTTTAGTGGTAAGTAAGCTAACGTTTGATTTTTATGGATGAAACGGAAAGCGGGGAGGGGTGCCTAATTTAATTTAAAATAAACAGGCTGTGATCTTTATTTTGATGAAAAAATGCAGAATGTGCCATTCCATCCCCCCATTCCCCCTTTAAAAAATCGTAAAAATCGCACGTTTGTTGCCAAATACATGAATTCAATATTCAGTTGTGGGGGTCCCGGGGGTTGGAACACCCCTTTTTTTTTGGACGATCAATACATTTAAATGGGGAAATATAGTTTGGAACCCCCCCTGTTTTGTCCTGGATTGGGAACCCCCTTTTTTAAAATGGCTGGATCCGCAACTGATATATATGTATATATAAATTCAATAACAATATAAATGTATCAAAAGAATGAATTTCCTACTTCATTATTGAATGAAATGTTATGAAAAAATGGATTTTGTCTTAATATTATATATATTCAGGCATATACTTTGGTTTTTTTTAAATTCATGCTCGTCTCTAGATCTGCAAGTGTTGATCGGGATTAAACACGTGTTACTATATGATCCAATCGCAGCTTACCGTCCAAAATTGATGACATAAGTTGAATGATTTTCTTCTAGATTTGCTGCTTATTTGGACGTGTATTACACGAACACTTTATTTATAGGATCAATCGTGCATTGGTGAGTTGATAGGGATTTTATCTTTTGATAAGATTTGATTTTTATTTACTTATTTTCTGTCTTTTTTATTGAAATATGAACGTCGGTATCATCATTTCTTTA